ACTTGTCCTATTGGCAAATTTATAATAATTAACAGTAAATAAGCTTCTCTTCCATTTTTTTTATTATTATTTATTGTTCATTTTATAATAATAATTTAATAATAATTTATTAATTTTATTATTATTCAACTAACAAACTGTAATCACAGTAATTTTAATAACTTTCCAAAGGTAAACGCAACGTTAACTGACATTTTACTCACATGCTGGTTTATTGAAGTCTTTCCGTGGTCGAGACACAGATTGAGCGATGACATGAGACATTTCAACAATGAAGCTGTGAACTTCACTTACTTTTTTAAAATCCAGAATTTAGTGGATCCTGGAAAGCGTTCATTGTCACAGAAAAACACCATGGCATTCTTCTTCCACGAGGGGTTTTGGCATTACAGCATTAGTTTCCATTCGGACCATTAAAGAACGTGACATGCGTGTCTCCCACACATCCTGTAGAATTCAACCAATCAGACCATGACTTCAAAAGTGTTTCCATAAAAGTGTGTCTCATGCATCAGACGTTCAGACAACAGTTGGTGGGCGTGATGTCTGAGGCTGAGTCTAGTATCACATAGGCAGCCCTAAATTTAACAGGAGACATTTTCTTCACACAAAATATTTTTTTTCCGCCCCCTTTTGATTGACCGGATATAATCGGCCATTACCAATTATTGCCTGATACATCGGCGCATCCCTAATAGGAATAGAACGTCCACTTTATATATGGTTTGTCTAGTGTTATTGTAGTAAACTAAAACCATAACAATTTTTTACACATTTCACTTTTGCAAGTTGGAACATTTCTCATTTTCATTTAGTTTAACTTGAGATATTAAAATAAAATTATGTAATAAATTAAAATAAACACTCAAATGTGTACATAAAAGTTTATGGAGACACATGAAAACACATCATTTGGGTTTGATGTCTCCCCAAGGTGCACAATTCTATATTATGCTGCCCATGAAATGTTGCCAGCAGTATTAATAAATCTAAGTACTTTATGTACTTTTTTTGTACAAATAGCTGTGTAAATGGCGACACATGAAAACACTTCATTTGGGTTTGATGTCTCCCCTATATTATGCTGCCAATAAAAAAATTACACAGCATTACTTATATTATTATTTTATTATTAATTCAACTATTTTTGTATTTTCTTTGCTTTATATCTACCTCTGATGGATTGTATGTTTTGCTGCTAATCCTGTTTTTTTTTTTGTTTTTTTTTTAATAAATGCTGCTTGTTTTAAAAACTGAAGATTCATTTAAATGTTTTTAATTGTGTTTAAAGTATACAAATCATATTTAAGGCCACTATAGTAAAAACAAGACCTTAAGAACCAAATCAAACACAATGGTAAGTCACATGTACCAATAGTACTTTAATATATGTTTAGGAATTTAAAACCACCCCTTTTTTACATTGACCATTCTAGAATTTTTAGGTTATTAAATGTTTAGTGATGTGAAAAGACATTATTGCCCAGTTATAAGCAAATGCATTCACATAAGATAAAGCATTTTCCTAAATAGATTTTACAGTCATTCAAAAATGTTTGATAATGACCTGAACAAAGATCAGAAAATGCTGTGGTTACACTATAGTAATGACACACGATCGTACACGGTTTACAAAAAAATTGTCTTTAATTCAACTTAATGCATCAAAAGGGAAATACATATTTCCCTGAAACTACTGGGCAAAAGAACTGCATTGTCTCTAAATAATTTAACGCTTGTTTTTAGAGAAAATAAAACATGATATTTCAGGAAACAGTAGATGTACATTTAAGATGCTTTACAAAACTATTTACATGTCTGTACTGTATACGTGAAACCAAAAAATAGTCGATGAATGAATGATTGCAGAAGTGCTGGCAGTATTCAATTGTGTAGTTTCATTTGACGCCTCAAAGAATCAAACTAGTAAAACAAAACCCGCAGAGACTTGGGGCCTCATTTATAAAGTGTGCGTACGCACAGATTTGAAGTTCAAGTTTGTGTACGCTAAAATCCACGCCAATGTTCAGAAGAAACAGTCTTTGACGTCTAAAAGTGCTTAGCGCTACGTCAGGGTCTGAGCAGACGTCAGAGAACTCTTTGTCTAAATCACACGTACGCACATTTGAGAAATGATCAGAAGATCAAATGTTGCATGGTTTCTACGCAACAATTCATAAATGAGACTCTTGATCTCCAGGTTTTGACTCCAGTCTGTCTCGATTCCAGGTCTGCACCCAACAGCACAATATTCATGGTCTCTGGTAGAAAGGTCCTTCTGTCCCAGGTCAATCACAATCCTCCCTGTTTTCAGGCCTGGCTGAGAGGGCCTTTGACCAATCCCATCTCTTTGCGCAATACCGGTGCATGAATGCTGCAGTCTCGCGCCTCGCACACGCCAGGTATTCCTGCACCACCAGCCATGCCAGGCTGACCCACACGCCCAGGAAACCCACGAGGTCCCTGTGGGCCCTCAATGCCATCTTTAGGTTCTGCTGGATGGCCTGGCAGTCCTGTTTGGGGAAATACACCAGAGTTACTCTAACTACATCTAATCCACAGTTATTGGGGGACGTTTCAGACCTGTAGATCTTTTAAGGAACAATGAGCCAAAGCACTGACCACCAATACCCATCTGGCTAATGCTGCTTGTCCAAGTGTGCCAACAGAACAGAGCACACTTGCCGAACCATGGATTCAACTAGACCTCCGAAGGTGTCCTCTGGTATCTGGCCTCAAGACATTAGCAACAGATCCTTCAAATCCCTTAAGTTGTGAGGTGAAGCTGCTGTTGATCGGACTTGAGGAATTTGGAGGCCAGGGAAACACCTTGAACTCATGTTCCTCAAGTCATTCCGGTACAATGTGGAAGGGTGCATTATTCTGCTGAAAGAGGCTATTGCAATCAGGGAATAGCATTGCCAGAAAGGAGTGTACCTAAGTTAGCAATGTTCAGATAGGTGGCAAGTGTCAAATTGATGTCCACATAAATGGCCGGACCCACGGTTACCTGGCAGAACATTGCCCAGAGCATCAAACTTCACCCACCAACTGTCATCTTCCCGCATCTTGTCCAGCTCGCACTACAATGGGTACACTCGTGAACCCATTGTAGGGGCTTTCAACAGTGGACAGTGGTCATCCCTTTGACCGGTCTGCTGCTACACAGCACCATATGCAACAGGGTCACTGTGATGTGACACATTCCTCCCATAAGCATGATTAAAATGTAGTGTGACTTGTGCCACAGTAGACCTTCAGTCAGTTCAGACCAGACAGGATAGCCTTTGTTGCCCTCACATCAATGAGCCTTGGGCGCCCAACACCCTGTTGCTGGTTTGTCCCACTGTTGGTAAATTCTCCCCACTGCTTATCAGGAGCGACCCACAAGCCTTGCGTTTTCAGAGATGCTCTGACCCATTAATCTGGCCATATCATTTTGGCCCTTGTCAAAGTCTCAGGTCTTTACTCCTGCCCATTTCTCCTGTCTCCATCACATTGACTACGAGAACTGATTGTTCGCTTACCATCTAACCAACCCAGACCTTGACATGCCACATTGTTAGGGTATGATCAGCATTTTTCACTTCACCTGGGTGAGTGGTCATAATTGTTTTGGCTTTTTAGTGTTTACACATTGGTCTTTCAGGTCAAATTGCTTTCTCAGCACAACCAAACTGCCCAGAGTTTTCAATAAAACAATTGACACTTGTTTTGCCCCCAGTTTGGTTAGTCTTTTATGAAAATATCAATCACACTCGAATCAACACCAACAGTTCTGAGATCCCATGAACAAGGTGGTCTAAACATGCCTTATTTGTTGCAGATCCAAGTGTGACTGGCATATTCAAATAAGCCTAAATTAACTGGACCAAGGGTGAAAACACTAGTCTCCAAAACCAAGTGAACCAGGTATGAAAATGCCCCAAAATTACCTCTGAGGCCTTGGTGACCATCATGCCCAGGAAGACCTTTGCCAGAATCACCTCTCTGTCCTTTCTGACCTTTTGGACCTTTAGAAAAACACAGTGAGCTCATCTGTACGCATGAACAGCTTTTTTGTTTAGTTAAAACTTTTAACAGTGACGTCGGCACAGTACCTATGTCCCCTGGAGCTCCTTTCTGGCCCTCTAGACCTTTCATGCCTTGGGGGCCTCTTTCTCCTTTAGCACCTGCCTTTCCTGCTTTACCCTGTATGAAATACAATGTGTTGAAAAGTAAGAGTGCTTTTTTATATGACAGATTTGTGTCAACTCGTAGATCAACTCACTGTTTTTCCAGAACTTCCTGGGGGTCCCGTGACACCTGGGGGTCCGATAAGGGTACGGTTGTTGATGGGACAGCCCTGTACACATTTGGCATGTATAGATGCAGCATACTGGGAGATCTGAGCAGTGACCACACCTTGACACAGCTGCAATATCTGCTCATCCGTCAGTCCTGGACCCTGCACAGAGCGAGTTGTACAAATGTTTTCTGGCCCAAAATTCTTTCATACACCCTAAATTAATTTATTTCTCATAATAATAATGATGATACTCACATGTTCACCTGGCTCTCCTTTCGGCCCACTCTGTCCTTTCCCTCCCAGGTCTCCGCTAGGTCCTTCTTCTCCTCTGGGACCTGGAAGACCTGGAGGTCCAATAGGACCAACGAGCCCATCGCGGCCAAGACGACCCTTCACTCCACGCTACACATAAAAATAAACTTTTACTTGGGGTTACAACAGGATTTGTTTTTTTTTAGTACAATAAATTGGTCAAAAGTGACACTAAAAGTTTTTAAATTGTGACAAAAAAAAAATCGATTTAAAAAAAGTTTTATTATATTTCCGCAAAAAAATATTGAGCTGTTTTTAACATTGATATTATAGGAAATGTTTCTTTAGCACCAAATCAGCATATTAGAATGATTTCTGAAGGATCATGTGACACTGAAGACTGGAGTATAAATTACATTACATAACATTTTAAAACAGAAAACATCTATTTTAAATTGTAATAACATTTCACACTATTACTGTTTTATAAGAAAATTTCAAAAACATAAAATTATTTACATATATAAATCATTTTAAAACTATTATTATTATTGGAATTTTTCTCTTTTAATAAATAGGCCAATGGAAATTGAGAAGAAATACTGTGGAGAAACAGTGTAGTCCGAATTCAAACCTGCATCCTTGTACGTCATGAGCTTGTGGACTACCACTGTTCCACGGCTCTGACGCAAAATAGTTTCACTCGATGACAAACCTGGCCTTTGTCACCACGAGATCCAGCGTCTCCCTAAAACAATGATGAAATTATGGTTAAAACAAAAAACTGTGGCTAGTGTAATGGAAACAGGAAGAGGAACTGTAATGGCTGATACCTTATCTGCTTTAGCACCCTTCCCCCCTTTTCGTCCTTGTGTCCCCTGAGAGAGTCATAAATTCAATAAAATCAATTCATATATTCAAATAGATCATTTTAATTGTGACATCATTTTATCTAATAACTATAAAAAGTTTGAGGCTAATATTATACTGATGTTAAATGCTTTTTATATTACCTTCTCACCATCTGGGCCTGTTTCCCCTTTGGCACCCTGTAGATCAAAACAACAAATAGTGAAACTAACCATTTGATTAGGTTAATCAATAAGAAACAAAAATTAGTTAGCATACTGTGGGCCCAGGCAAGCCTTTTGGCCCAGGTTTTCCTGGAACTCCTGCATCCCCACTGTCTCCTTGTGGACCCTTTGGAAAGAAAATAAAGGAAAAGTCAAATACTTTTTGACTTTCACTTTCAAAGGGGGGGGGGGGGGGGATCAAGGTGGATGTTCTTGATATTGCAAAACAGTATTGAATAATGTTAACAGTTCTGCTTGAGAAGAATAATTGTGTTAGTTACATAAACTGTAAATGAGTAATCGTTTATTGCCTTTTATAAGACTAAACTACATGTTTAGACTACACTATGCATAGTATTGTACAGTCTCATTTCCTTTTGGGGGAAACATTTAAGGGGAAATTCCCTACACAGCAAGTTACATGTAATGGAACTGCTGAAGGTAAAAATAAAACCTATAGTTTCACTTTCAGTCTCGGGACTGTCTGGTGAATCCCCCACCATTCAGGGACATTACTCACTGGATGACTGTTAAACCAACAGTACTAGATAATATATCAAATTTCTGGTGATTTCCAACTTCCAAAAATATGGTACACTCCCACAGAACAATAATGTGGATTTTATTTTAATCTAGAAGAGATCACATCTCAGTCAAGAGATTAACCTTGTGTGGTTTCTGATTGTGTCATGCACATTTTAAATATTTGAGAAGTGTTATATCCCCACAAAGGGCCAAAATCTTACCACGCTTCCTACTCTTCCAGATGGCCCCCTCAGACCACGATCCCCTTTCAAACCCTGAGGAAAAAAGGAAGACAGAAATTTACAAATATTTTTTGCAAACAAAAAAATAATCCTTATTTTTTACAAAGAAATGGCAAGTGGATTGTGGAAACTGAATTATGATTTTTTTTAAGTTGAAAAATGAAATAGTATTTTATACTCCTATAATCTTTGATTTATTTGCAGCTATATATATATATATATATATATATATATATACACACATCCACATACACATACATATATATATATGTGTGTGTGTGTGTGAGAGAAAAGACAATATGTATTTTCTCTTACCTTGGGTCCAAAAGACCCAGGCACCCCCTCAACTCCAGGAACACCCAGAGGACCCTAGAAGATATACAATTATTATTAGGAGCCAAGTACCGAAGGTGCTATTGTATCTGTTGGCATTCTTCTTCATCCGTTTCTTTTTCTTACGCTTTGGAAACCCTCAAGCGCTACCAATTTTCCAAATTTTCACTTATGTTTATGCAAATAACTTTTGAACCGTAAGGGCTATTCCTCTGATTCTTTGTCCCACAAATATTCGATGCAATTGATTGCAACTACGGTTGTAACAGTATGAGATGAAGGAGGGAACGGAGACGCCACATGGAGACCGACGAATAGGAATCTTACTAGAGAGGCCAATCTACTTCGAGTGAAACTAAACAAGCCAATACACATTGCCGTGAAATCATTTGCATCAGCTGCGCAGCCACGCAGCGCAGGTATATAACGAGCAGCTGGTCTGATTGCACTTCAGTTTTTTGCTGAGGAGCCAAGCATGAAAAAGCTGGCCAACCTGGCGGGCAGCAGCAGATGTGGCGACGGGATGTGGCGTCTCCGTTCCCTTCTTCAGGAGATGTTCTTCTTCAGTTGGTCAGTAGGAATAGAATAGGAATCCATACCAAAGGGCCACAGCTGCTGCACCCCATTCAGTGGCCTGTGCAAGCCTCTACCCCTTCTTGCCTGGAAGGACGATAGGAGGAGGACATCTGGAACCCAGCCTTGATTTGGTTCTGTGCCAGGAGGATGCAATGCCTCTTGTGGAGTGTGCATGCAACCTGAGCGGGCAGGGCACGCCTTGTGCTTGATAAGCCAAGTTCTATCCACGTACATACCAATGGGACAGAGCAAAGCCAGGGCTGGGTCTGCCTCCTCCTCCAGGGGCAGCGCTTGCAGGTTTACTACCTAGTCCCTGAACGGAGCGGTAGGAACCTTGGGCACATAGCCATGCTGGGGAATCAGTACTACGTGGTTGTTACCCGGCCCAAACTCTAGGCGCGATTCGCCGACCGGAAATGCCTGCAGGTCCCCTACCCTCTTGATAGAGGCCAGTGCAACCAGCAGCAAAGTCTTCATTGAAAGAAGCTTTAAGTCTGCTGATTGCAAAGGCTCAAAGGGAGCATCCTGAAGTGCTCGAAACACCAGGGAAAGGTACAAAGAAGTTATGGAGGGGGGTCAAGGAGGATTTAATCATCTCACCCCCCTGGAAACCTGACAACCAGGTTGTGCTTTCCAACTGTTTTGCCATCTATGTGGTCGTGATATGCTGAAATAGCTGCAGAATGTACTTTGAGGGTATATAGAGAAAGCCTTAGCTCCAACCATTGCTGCAAGAAGGAAAGCACAAACACTATAGCACATCTTCAGGGGTCTTCATGGCGAGAACACCACTTGAAGAACAGGTACCACTTCAGGGCGTAAACACGTCTCGTGGACAGTGCCAGTGCTGAAGGGAAGGTGTTAAGTACCTATGGAGGAAAGTCACCTAGAACCTCCTGTCCAGGGAGCCAGGTCTCGTATGAAGCAGGCCGAATGAGTTATCACTGCAGCTGCTGCCATATGAGTCTCTGCGTGACCATTTTTAACGGTAACTTGTGGAGGCTCCAATTCAAAACTTGCAGATCCAAGATCGGTCGTAACCCACCACCTTTTCGTGGGTACAATGAAGTAGGGACTGTAGTGCCCTGACAAAGGATTTTCCACCCGGCCCTCTTCCGGAGGAGGGAGCGATGTAGTCGTCGTCTCCTGGAAAGCAGTCCCTTCCATCTCTGGGTGGCGACTAGCTCTAAGACGCTGTTTAGGTGGAGGCTGCTGGAACGGAGAGGGAGCAGGGGCAGACGCAGGAGGAAGCCCACTGTGAAGAGCAGACTGAGCCGCGGGCAGTGGGGTGGAAGCAGGATGTGTTTGATGGCCTCAGTCTGCTTCTGCACAGCCAAGAACTGCTGGGCGAAGTTCTTGACTGCGTCGCCGAAGAGGAGCTTGTCGGTCTCCCGCATGTTGACCAGACACAGCCAGTTGCTGGACCACTAGTGTGGACATCGTTCGACCCAGTGATCACAAAGTTCCTGCAGAACTTGTGGATCGTGACCATCCTTGTGCAGGACCTTCGGTGCCTTGGCCTGATGGACTTGCAGCAACACCATAACGTGCATGGCAGAGGCAGCTTCCCCACAGGCCTTTTAAGCCTTGCCGGATAGGTCCGATGAGTTCCTACAGGCCTGGGAAGGAAGACATGGTTCTCTGCGCCAAGTGGAGTTAGGGCACAGTTGCATTGCAACAACCTGCTACACTGGCAGGAAGCGTGTGTATAACTTAGCTGCCCAGCCATCAAGGGTGGTAAGGTAGGAGGAGCCACTGTGACGGTTTCTGGCAGTAAAAGGTGCCATCCACGTCCCATGCACTCCTGGGAAGAAAGGCACTGGAGTGGGTTGCTGAGAACCAGCGCGAGCCACCCTGAGATACCAGTCATCCAGCCTCGAGGGCTCAGGACACGGTGGAGGGTTCCACAAGAGCCTGATCCTGTTGGCGGCCCGGGAAAGCATGGCCATCATCCCCGAAGGAGGCAGCGGCGCCAAGTCATCATCCGCGGAGAGGTCTGACCCACCCTCCGATGCAATGATAGACATCTGGACATCTGGAAAACACCTATAAGTGAATGTGCTTTCCATTAAAGAAATCACACACAGTAAACAAAACCTTAACAAAAAAGACGGCCAAACTGTGTGCCGGTGCGGTGAGACGTACATGCGCGGGCAGATTCGGATTGAAGTCGGTCATCCTCGGGCGCAGCGGCGTGCACACTGTTACAAAAAAAAATTGGGTCTTGCGCACCAAACGCGACTTTTTGCCACGCGCACCTTCACGCTCGGGCAAATGCGTTGAGTATAATCAAGACATTACTCCATCTCAGCGCTCGCTCTGATCTGTAAAGGGGCAGAGATTTCAGACCTCCGAGATTTCACTTCTTGTAAGGGGGTTCACAGACATCTGCCGAATCATCTCCAGCAGTAGCAGCCTCCGAAACACCAATAAATCTGATTTCGTTTCCCTCGTAACCTGATATTAGTATTTAAACATTCTCTATGATAGTACATAAATATATATATATAACATGGTTTTGGCAGTTATTTTAGGAAATTTGCCAGAAGTGGTCTGGGTTTTCCCAGGCTAAACATGTTAGCATATCATTATGAAACTTTATGAAACCTGTCATGTGTCTAAGGCACCATGCCCTGAATGTACATGGGGAATGCTATTATATTATAAGCAATTGTATCTCCCTACTACTTAATGCATTTATGGGTTTTCAACTTTTTGTACTTAAAATTGTCTCCATGTTTTTATTTACTCTTATTTTTGCAGTTGGTCTGCTATTAGGTTCCTTGTTTGCTTTTGTTGGGCTTGGCTGCTATAATTGCTGCTTGCAGTTATATTTATTAATCTTAGTTCAGAAAATGAATACCTCAGGAACTTTATCAGTAAAATCACTTGCATCAGTAAAAGTTTGCTACTCACATCCTCTCCTGGCTCGCCATCACTTCCTGGCAAGCCACCTGTACCTTTAGCACCCTGAAGATGATAGCAGATGGAAAGAGAAATTCACATACTGTAATACCAAAAGTCAGTCAATAAGTACTGATTCAAGGAAAAGCTTTTAGTTGGAATTGTCAAATTATGAAGTGTTTACTTATAGAACATTGTGAGTATATATACAAACCTAGACGAGACAAGTGGTAATTCCACTGTGCTAATCTCTCTCATAGGTACTGTCTGAGTGATAACCATCATAAGCTTTTTTATGAAAACAAACCTTTGGCCCGGTCGCCCCACGGTCTCCGGGAACTCCTGTATAACCCTTATAACATGATGAAAAATAGGGGTGTATTGAGATTACAACAGGGATTTTTTTAAATGTAAGAAAGACAAAGGTTGAGTATTTTGTCACCAAGTAACCCTGCTCTCCACGGTCTCCTGAGAATCCAGGTGCTCCAATCTGACCCTGATGATTCAAATAGGAAATTAATATATGATGAATATATATAAATGAATAATTCTGCTTTAGTCACCAGCAGTAATTAGGTGTAATGTGTGTCAAACTAATGACTAGTCTATGACTTAGATATGCCCATGTCTTGGCATCTACCTTCTGTCCCTGTCGTCCCTCAGGACCCGGTTTTCCTGTTTTACCAGTGGAACCCTGTTGAGAGATGGAGACACTGAATAAAAATCTGGACAGATCAAAACTCAACTGTACATTTATTAGTTCTGTTACACGAGAAGCTGACTATAAAGATGGACTTATTGTATTAAATATCAATGTTTTTAAATCAGGGGTGCCAAACTCAGTTCCTGGAGAGCCACAGTCCTGTAGAGTTTAGTCCTAACTATGCTCCAACACACATACCTGTGTAGTTTTCAAATAATCATGAATGACTTGATTAGCTGGATCAGTTGCATTTGATCAGGGTTGAAACTGAATTTTCTACACCAGTATAGCATGACAGACTGCAAAGCCCTACTGTGTTTACTTAAAAGGTCATGTCAACTCCCACATATAGTTCCACAGTTGATATATCAATTGCAAAATATATTTAAGAAAATTAAAACCAGACAAACAAACCGAATGGAAAACTCCCACCATATGCCCCATGGGAATTGAAACTTGTGACATATGACATTTAACCAAAATAGGGAAGTACATAAATCTGACTAAAAAAAAGCATATAAAAATAAGTTTACTTAGACGTGTAGCAAAACTTCTTTAAAGGGACTGTCCCCATAGAGCAGTGGTGCATTTTTTACAAAAACAAAGTTTTTCTAACCCTATTAAATGTAGAATGTGTTGTTAAATTAAATATAATAAATAAAGCAATAAATTAAAGTAAATCAATAATTTCAATCAAATCAAGTACTATATTTGCACTGCAGTGGCACAGGCTGCATCTAGATGCATTTACACACTGTTCAATGCCCTTAACAGGGCACTATTTGAGAGGACAACTATTTGTAGAGGTGTCCAAAACCATATTGGACGTTATCAAGTGCACTCAATCAATTCCACAATGCACCGCAATAACGATTGTACATATTCAGTGGTTAAAGAATTATCCCCACAATGCACTGTGAGAGTTATAAGCCAACCATAATGTAATAGAAAGAATGACACCTTGACTGTCCACCACGTTTGCCTCCATCAGCCTGTAGGCTCAATTGTGTGTGGAGGAGTTGGGTCCGAATTGGCGTGAAAATTCACAAAATGTGACGTCATGCGCATTCTTGTCTACTTGGGCTTACCTCCGTACGGCAGCCATTACACTCTAAAAAATTCTGGGTTGTTTTAACCCAATTTTGGGTCAAATATGGAGAAACCCAGCCACTGGATTACATTTTTAACCCAATGTTTGAGTTTGTCCATATTTGAGTGTAGTAAGCAGCGACAATTACTACGAGCAGTGGTGTTTCAAATGGACTCTACGGACGGAAAGAAACGACCAGCCTTCAGCACAATCCAGATACCCACAGAAACTCCTTGTGAGTTTAACAAAAAAAGAAAAAAAAAAACCTTATCTAGTGCGGCCAATGAGCGTGCGCACCGAGGACGAGCATGAGACTGGCTGCAGTTTCATTAGCGGCCACTGGTGTCAGTAACGGTAAGAAATTTCAGAACTTCCGCAATACTCCTTTAATTTTATATTTTTGTTCTTGAAATGTATAAAATCAATGTCACACTTGCAATTGTTTAGATATTTGGGAAAAAAATAATTTATGCTTGTATAATATATTATCAACACTATAAAAACAAGAATTTACACAGGTATGTTTTTCTATGGAAGAGAGTTTGAGTCTTAAGTTTGGAAGCAAAATATGAGGTAATTTGATTGGATGTCATGTATTTGACCTTTTCCGGTACTACCATTTACCCACTTTTACACTAGATGTGGCATTTGCGTGTTAGAAATACATGCTTGGTTTTAATGTTTTTTTAAGGTTGGGCAGAATTAAATGAAGATAAAAACTCATCTTTTTGTTCACATACCCCCTCTGTCACCATAGTACCATAGTTTGAAAATGACTGCCCAGAGCAACTATCTTTTCCTTTTCATTTTTTTTTTATTTGTAGATTGAAATCATGATCAAATAATAAAAATAAATAAATACAAAAAGTGAAAAAAACTCCTTGCAAATATGCTAATCTTTCTGCAGAGTTCTGAAGATGCAAATTCCACGTGGACCTATTGACATGCTTCTTACAAGCCTTGAACCAGCAACCTTCTGGTCACTAAATTTCATTACATATAACATTTGTAAAAGAGTGAAGTGACCTACCTTAACACCTTTACCTCCTGGTTTTCCAGATTTACCTTTTGGGCCAACAGGACCCTGTAGTCATTCAGAAAAATCTCTGATTAATTTCATAGCGAAATCTGGGATTTTGTTATAATCTAATATGATAACAAGATGTGTTAGCTTTGTGTTAGCTGTGCTTTGACTTGATAAAATGGAGGACTAGACCATCTCAGCTGTGTGATCTGCTTATATATTCAGTTGTTATTATTATCACTATGAAGCTATGTGATGATCAGTGACTGAAATGAAAAATATTTGAAGTAATCTGGAGAGGAAACCCTGGTTGTAATGTGTTACTGAAGATGCTATGTTGCTCACAGTTTTTCCAGGGAGACCCACTCCTCCACGGGGACCCTCTATTCCGAAATCACCCTGGAAGGCACAAATAAACTCAATTTCAATCACAAGTCATAATATCTAAATCATATAATAATGTCTATAACAACTAAATGAAATAAGAATTTAAATAGGAATAAAAAAAGCAAACCTAAATTGGCTTAACTTGAATTTAAATAATATTATATATAATATTAATATTATATATAATCTAACAGTATAGCTAACCAAGAATTATTTTTTTTCCACTCGTGACTCGTGAAGTTTTTTTTTTTTTTTTAAGTGAGATCTAACAAATGTTCTAACAAACACTTTTTAGTTTACTTTACTTGTCTTAACTGTAACTTAATTGTAAAAATCTAGCAATCTGTACTAATGGCATACTATGCCTTTGTTACTCAGAAAACCCATGTTAAGATGCATTTCATAGTCAAGATACATACAAGTCATCTTGAATGTTGTTAAATTGTCAATCCAAGTATTGTAAACATCATACTATTTTGGAACATGAAAATATTGATGGTGTGAATATAATTAAATATTGCATTAATGTCCCTCTTGGCCCTCTACAAACTACCTTGTAACCAATCACATCCTGTGATCATCCACTAGTGGATCTCTGAGCTGGTGTGAGTGAGTGGAGATGGGGCTAATTTGCATATTGATAGAACCACATATATTAAATGAGGCAAGGGTGTAGAATTACATTCAAGCTATTTTAAGGCATGAAGAATTGTTTTAAGGGAAAAAACTTTTAAATATGTGATTTTGGCAAACCTAGATGAGTTTTAAAGGATAAAATATACTTCAAGTTTTCTGGTAAACACAATTACACAAAGGTACCTGAAGTTGTTGTAAGCTTTATCAACTCAAAAATGATGAAAGAACTTGCTTCTGAAATTTGAGACAATGCATTTACACAGGCTTTCTAAGTAATCTTAATTTATTAATTTTTCAGTGCATTACCTTGAATCCAGGTGATCCAGTTTCACCTGGGTCCCCTGGTAAGCCGGGAAGACCCTATGAAGTAGAGCGAGAAAACTACATATTAAAGACTCTTCCATAATTAACAATTAAACACAAAATAATATAGGTAATAGCCAAGTTTTCCAAAAGTCTTCACTCACAATTGCACCAAAGAAACCAGATGCACCATCCTCTCCATTAGGCCCAGAGTCACCCTAAACATAAGGCAAATAATAAGGTGAGCCAGTTCTTTGAAAACCTAGTGGTATGAACGGGATGCAGATTCAACAAGTGTTCCCTGTGTCACTCACCTCAGGACCAGTGTCTCCTCCCCTTCCTCTTACTCCTTTGGTTCCTTTGTAACCCTAATATGATGACATCCAGTTTGGTGCTTACACTTTACACTAGTTAAATAACACTACAAACATCAAAATCTGATGTTTTGCTCTTACCTCCCTTCCTTGGACCCCAGGTAACCCCTGTTTGCCTTGAAGACCCCTAGAACCCTGTAAGCAAACATAATCAAATTGAAGAATGCATTATACTTTAAAAGGCAGCGAACTATAACATTTAAAGGCATGGCAATAATTAACCTTGGGTCCAGCGAAGCCTCCAAATCCCGGCTCTCCTGCTTCACAGTCGCATTCAGTGGGTCTCTCCTGCCCCAGCTCGGCGTCTCCTCCATATGGCACCTGTGCTATTAAGGTTTTATCCTCTTTGGCATAATCAAATGATTCCACGACTGTGGCATACGGGTATGTTTCCTCAGTGATCATGGTGACCACGGTGGCTGCAGGCGCATAGGGGTCGAAGCCAGATGCCGAGTGCTCACCTTCATTGCTGCGTTTGGACTCTGCAGGATACTTAACTGAGGAAGCAGATAAAAGACACTGAGGCACTCATTGCGCCTGACTGCAGTCTGCTGGATATATTGATATAAAACACATTATGGTGACTAATAGTCTAAAATGTATATACATTTTTTTAATATATAATTTTAATTTAAACACTACAATAAGGTTTTAATAAACTAGATACGTTCTCATGAACTAACAATGAAAAAAAATACATCTAAAGAATTAATTAATCTTAGTTAAAGTAAATTTAAACATTTAACAGATATATTTGTTCATCGTTATTTAATGATAGTTAATACTATCATCAACTAATGGACCTTATTGTAAAGTACTACCATAATATAATACACTCTAAAAAATGCCAGGTTTTAATATAATATAATATAATATAATATATAACATAATATTTCATTGTTGAAATTGTAGGTTAACTAAAAGAGAAAAATGTATACATGTAAATTAAAGAGAAAAATATTTGTATAAATGTGAGAATCTATTGTGGAAATGTCCAAGTATATGTTGCTAAAGAAAAAGACAAATTATTTAAAATAAATTATATTATATATTTATTTATTTTATATTTATATTGCAAAAAGTAAATGAAGCATATGTTTTTGTCTTAACATATAACTATGATGTACCAGTTTGAGAGATTAGTGAATTGTGACCAATTATGAAATGTATTGTTTTTAATAAATTTGTGATTAATGTTCAACTTACAAAAGAGGGTTGAACGTTGTTGAAACGTGAATATCTGTATATAATATACAGCACAGCTACAGAGGTTTCATTATGAGGAGTTCTTTTTTTGTAGTATGAACAGTAACATCTTATTTACCACGGTCAGTGTATCCAGAATGTCCGTCATATCGATCGACCAAGGAGCCTTCATACATGTGTTCTTCTCCTGTGATTGTAAAAGAGAGAGAAAATAATCTGCCATTTTAATGTTTTTATTGGCTATTTATACATAGTTACACAGATGTAAGCATGTTGGTAGTGATGTTGTCTCACCTGATTGTACACCAGAATAGTCTTGCTGGGCCTGAGTGTGCAGGACACACAACAGGAACACAGCCAATACCTGACAATAAACCAACAAATACATGTTCATATTATTCAATTTGGGGATATTCAAAATAACTAACCACTCAGTAATATCATTGATCAGCTCGTGGATGTTTTTTCCACTAAGAAACGAACATTGTTATTATGTTTTGATTGATACTGTGAAGCTGCTTTGATGCATATCTATATATTATGAAAAGCGCTATATAAATATACTTGACTTGAGATAGGAACAGGTTACAGTAACATCATGGTGGCAAATCTAAATATGTCAAAGTTGATATAACATGATTTACTGAAAAAAATCTAACTACATAATTTATTAAATGTAGTGTTACAAAAGGATTTACAAACTTCATTAGAAATACTAATGATCTATTTACACATAGAAGTTAGAAAAATGATCTGTGTTTTTAGTTGTAATTTTACCAACTCAACTGTCCAGTGCAAGGAGATCTCTCCTTAATGATATGGTTTCACTAAGGTTTCTTCCTTAAACTGGGGGTTTGCCACTATCACCTAATTTACAAGTGATGTTTCCACTTTCCTAAGTAATTACTTCAGTTCGCATTTGTCCTTTCGCTGGAACAAATGGATATATGCAACTGAAGCTGATCTTTTTTTTTTTTAAAGGCCATGTGCTTAAATTAACGCTCTTCCTGTTTTGCAGTTCCTCATGTGATTAGCTCAAATGTCACCAATGAGGTCATGGAACATAATAAAAAAAATAAAAAAAAACAACAACAAATAATAATAAATGATTTAATCATTTTAAATAAAACAAGAGCAACTTATAATTTTTTTTCTTTGCATAGTTGATCAGTTGTTTAAAATGCCACCAGATACCAAATTTTCTTATCTTTCCCCCCAAATAATCGTAGCATTTAAACCATATGCAGACAGAATCGTTTAATAAAATAAAATAAATTTAAAAAACTGGCTAAAGAAAATGGCTAAAGATGGATATGAGATCCCTCAAATAAACGTAATTAGAAAGAGCTCAAATGATGTCGTATATTTGAACTCCCTCTAGTGGTCATTGTTAAACAGAGTTGCAGATGTTCAGAACTTCTGAAAATCACCTCACAAAAATACCAGAGTAGTAGACATGAAATTGATATCTAGATTTGTACATGTAAGACCTGTAAGTATCAGTTTAAAAGGTATTGTCAGTTGCATGCTCAAGTAATGGCTGTTTAAAGAGTAAAATATTTAGCCAAGAACATCCCGTACAGTAGCCTACATGTAAAAAAAAAATTGTTTGTGATTTCAATCAGGTCCTCTAGAATGCTGCCCTCACATTCCAGACTGGAATGATGAAAGGCCCATTTTCTTTTCAACCATACAGTCTACAGTCTGTAAAAACTCTCTCTCTGTACATGCTCACCTCAATGCATATTGTACACAGCATGTGACATTTGACCTTTCCAACAAATACAAAATGACTTTTTTCAGGTCACTTGTTAAATGGCAGATAGCCAACGAGATTAAGTTACAGACAATTGGAAATTTTATAGCATAATTATCCACAACCTTTTAAAAATGTAGTTTTCAGTTTATTTATTTTGTATTCAGCAAGGACACATGAAATTTATCGAAATTAACAGTAAATATACATTTTATATTTTTAAAATATTTTTTTCCCTAATAAATGCTGTTCTTTTTAACCTTTTAATCATCAAATAATATTGTAAAAAAGCAATACCATATTAAGCCGAACAACTGTTCTCAACATTGATAATGATAAAAAAGCACCAAATCAGCATGGGATTATTCTGAAGGGTAGTGTAAATTCAACTTATATGACCCCATATATAAACTCAGGGACTAAATGCAATATTTTTCTTTCCATTACATACAAAAATGCTCACGAGTTTTGCGTTGCGTTTTCGGTCAATTTTCAGTCTAGTTTCTTGTAAATTTCCAAAACCTGAAAGAGTGACGTAGCAGAGCTAATGGCTCATAGGGCTGAAACATTGGGTTCCTCACCAACCCACAGGTCCTCTGGGACAGTGAGGTGCTGAACAGGTAATACACACACGTTTTCATCAGCCCCACAAGCTTAAAATATGGAACTGGCCTTTAAAAACTACTACATAACTGTACTAAAATCAGAGTATTAATGTAACATGGTTGATACTGGTCTATTGGCCACGTAACCAAAATAATAGGTTGTTCATGGCACACATTATAAATATAAAACAAACTATAAATTTCGTAAAGCGAAAGCTATTTCTGTAGCCTGTGACATCTCCGTTCACTTGATACTATTTGTCAGTTTTAGATAAACATAAGCACACTATGCCTGATAGTTAGATTATAACAGAAAACTGAAAATCAACAGTCCATAGGATGAATGACTCGTAAAAATGAATTTCTCAGCTATTTGTTTTTCTAAAACTGTCCTTGAAACCAACCAATATGAACCTGACAACAAAACTACCAATGAATATGATCTGAACAAATGAATAAGCATAAAGAAAGCTTACATGAAATCTGCTTTGCATATCTCAAACAAGTATGATTCCACTCTGAATTCCCCCAACATTTTAGTACCCCATACTGCATCTTACCTTCACCCTGGAGGCTCCCATGGTTTCCAGGTGCTTTACGGACACGGAGCTCTGATCCCTTGGATTAGCTCAGTCAAGGGGTTTTTAGTGAACGCAGAGAGCACGGTTTCAATGAGGAGCTGCAGTGGTCCTCAAAGCATTCTCCCTCCTTGCATGCGATGCTGAGACAGACGAAAAGACCTCCTGGTCCGTCACCAGAATATCCCAGGCTCCCAACTCTCCACATCTGGGTGAGAAATAGCTGAGCCTTCACCAAACAAACACACTTCTCCTCTACACAGAGAGTAGAGGAATAAAGGCACTGTAAAAAGAACACTCCTATCAGAGAGACATCAATATTCTTTATTCATTATTTAGAATTTATTACAATCAATCTTGATGTAGTATACATGGTTCACCACTAAATTCAGTAAAGCTGAATTGCAAGATGTGACCGTGATTTTCAATGACCTTTTGACCTCCTTGGAAAATGTGCCATTGGTGTAACAGATTTCTCAAAATCCACATCAGGTGGCTAAACGAATAGCTAAAGACTAAATAAAAAGCTGGTTAATACAAATTATGAAGATCACGTGCACCAACTTAATAAAAATGCAGAGCTCTTTCGAATTACACAGCTACATCACTCACATTTTTCTAGTCATCAATCCTGAAAAACATGCATCACAGTTACCACAAAATATTAAAGGGTTAACTTAGTTCACCCAAAAATGAAAATTCACCCTCATTAATGACTCACTCTCATGTTGTTCCAAGACAGTAAGACCTCCGTTCATCTTCGGAACACAGTTTAAGATATTTTAGATTTAAGGCCCTTGCAAACTGAATCCAAAATTTGCATCCGAAATTGATGAACGGAGGTCTTACTCATGTTTGGACGACATGAGGGTTAGTCATTAATGACATAATTTTCATTTTTGGCTGAACTAACCCTTTAAGGTTTATTGAGCACCAAATCAGCATATTCAAATGATTTCTAAAGGATGTGGAGTGAAACTAAAGACTGGAGTAATAGCTTTGCCATCACAGAAATAAACAACAGCAGTTTAAAATATATTAAAAGAGACATTTTAATTTTAATAATATTTTACAATATTATCGTTTTACTGGATTTAAAGCAGCATTGGTGAATTTTAATAATCATTGAAATCATAAAAAAAAACCTTTTGAATGGTAGTGTTTATGAAGATTTATCATGGCATGGATGTTACAAATGCAATAAATGCACAGAAACAAACATTTGAAACATATGTATTCACATTTTATTGTAGCATATCATCCAACTAAAACATTAAAGAGAACAATACTGAAATGAAATTAACTCAAATTTCAAGACTTATTTTTCTTCTTCTTCTTTTTCTTGTGATGTCTCTCCACATCTGGAGAGTGTGAATCTCTGAGGACAAAACAAAATGAGAGAACTATATATCAGTCCATCACAAACTTTGAGTGTAAAATAGCGAAATGACACTATGATAGATTGTTCACGCTGAACTTTGAAATTGCACTAGAAGAATTTGAAGAATGATGGACTGATAGATAATCTAAGTTCTGATTGCAGTTAATACTTTCATGTTGTTTAGGTCAGTGTTAACCTTACCTCTTGCTCTTGTGTTTTCTCTCTCGACTGCGCTTGCGGTGCTGTTTATGCCCATGCTCATCTCGGGTGCTGATACGAGACTCACGTGACTCAACGGATGCAGAGCGGCCTTTCTCATATGACCCTCTGTAACCAAAAACCAACATAAAAATCAATATCAGTGAATCTGTGCTACTTCTGTCAGGGAGGAAAGAGATTCGCTCTACTGAAATCAGACTTCTGACCTGTGGGATGACTGCTGTGACTCCTCATCCTTCACTTCCTGCCAAATCCTGCCTAGTTCTTCAGAGTGGATATCAATAACCTCACGGATCACCTGGAAAAGGTAGGAAAGGGCATACAATCATGCATAATATTCTATATGGCTCTCAATCCATTCACTGTGTGAAGACCAGTGATGGGAATGTATTTGTTTTTGTATTTATAATGTATTTATTCATTTTTGGTACATTTCTTAAGCAGCATAGTTTGATTTTAGAAATATTTGTTGGACAGTTGTAGTCTGTGCAATATCAAATATTATGGTTCCCAAACCATCTATTGTGTTTTATTAATGATAATATTTAAAATCATATATTGAATTTAATTAGGCATCTCTTACATTGTCCCACAGCAACATTAAAATAATGTAAATTAGTGTCAAATGTTTTATAATAATAACTTATTCTATTTAGTGTCATTTCAGTCATTTAACATATTTAATATTGGGGGAATCCAAGTTATTAGACATATTTTAACTTTTTTTAAGTAACAATAATTACTTTCCCTGGTAATTATTTATTTTTATAATAAATGTAACTCAGTTACTATTCATGAGAAGTAACTACTTTTTTTTAAGTAAACATGCCCAACACTGGTGAAGAAAATTTTAATTCAAAATGAAGGCAATCTACAGTTAGAACATACACTATTAGATTATTATTTTGTGGGCAAGTAGATTAACATCCCCAAGAGCAAACACAAACTCAAATCACAGACCTCTGTGTAAGACTTCTTGGTGACATGAACGTTTTTCGCTCTGTAAGACTGTCTTCGCCTCCTGTAGTCCCTCATCTCTGCCAAGACCTCCAGATGAGACTTCGGCCCACTCTGTTTATCTCCTATAGAATGGATTTAAGACAAAACATCATTCTTTACTTTATCAACCAGCTATTATCAAGTATACCAATTGTACTCGGTATAGTGTGAAATTATATTTGAGGTAAAAAAAAACCACACACACACAAAACTAGAAGTTATATGGACTTGGTACTGAAGCCTTTTCTCCAAGTTTGGAGCAACTTAGGTCTTATACGAATCAGCTTTGATGCAGATCCACCTCAGGGCTTAGTGGAGTAGCTCTGCCTTAGGGCTGAGTAGGCCTTGTGGTGCAGCTCCACCTCTGGGTTCAGTGAGCCCGAGCCCAATATTACTATGTTATGTCATCTTTTATGTATTTGCTGGCTGTCGTTTTACAGGTAAATGCAATAATTACTCTACAGATTTTTTTGTAATTTTTACATATCTTCATTTGTGTTCTGAAGATGAATAAGTGTTATGGGTTTGATGATAAATTTTAATATTTGATAATGATAAAACTTTCATTTATTAAGTGAATTAACCCTTTCAAACAAATATGTAAAATGTGTGACCTTGAATATGTGAAAAATGAAACTCAGAGACAAATATTTCCCCTTAATTTGACTCAGGATCAATGGTAATATAATGGGTCTGTGAATTCAAGTACCTTTTTTAAGCTTTGCAACAAGGTCTACATAAAGATCCTCGTTGTTGCATTCTCTCTTTGCACTCTGCTGACTGGCTTCTTGTAACACATGACCATAGACGGCCAATCGTTCTGCCACAGTGAGGTCACATAATGCACGCTTATGATTCTGAGGTATGTTAGGGAGATCTGTAGATGTGTCCCCTGCAAAAATAAAAGAAAACAGATTTTACACAAAAATCACAATTATTAGTAGATGGTTTGAGTGACGTGTTTCCGAAGAACATTTTAAATGACCAGTCTGCAAAAAGTAAATCCCAAGCAGAACTAGCGAGTCAGAAAAACACTCCCAACATGTAATGGGACAAATGGACCAATAGACTTCTGCATTTCTTGGTCTTATGTCATTTATGAATGTTGAAGTAATGTGTACTTGGGTGAAATAAATTTAAATCTTCAATCAAGCAAAGTAAAGGACCAAGCCTTTAAAAGGATATTGAGCCAAAGGATACAGCAAGTATGACTGGAAAATTGTCTAGACCAGACTTCCTTTAATACTCACTGCTGTTAATGGGGAAAAAACAAAACAAAACAAAGAACACAGATAAATGTTGAAAATATTTGGAAAAATAAATAAATACATGGATATCATTAATACACTCATTCTGTCACACACAATTTTAAATGTGCCATATTGCTTGTTATGCTGATAAGTGCTGAAATGACCAAATCACTGTCTAGAGAAAGGAGCTGGCTAACTAAACACTTACTTTTTGAGTGGATTCCTGTCGAGCTCACGTGAGGAGCATTTTCCCGGGTCTGCAGAATTACTTGGTGAAATGTGTCAACGTCTGAAAGTGATATCAGTCAACATCACACAACTTCACAGCCTTGCAAAGCTCATTAAAAACCTTAAAATTGAATAGTATGTCTTTCACAAAGTCAAAAAACTCACCCATGGTAATGGACGGAATGTTAGCTTTCTCATAGTACACTGAAGGATCAAACATTTCAGCCTGAAAACAAATGCAAAAAAAAATTTACAATTTCATGTTTATATTTTCTGCTATGAGATTAAGTCAATCACAAGGGTGTTTTGCTGACATGGTACTTTGGTTCATGGTTCATTATTCACCTGCTCTTCTTTAGAGTATCCCAGCTGACTGAGCTGACAGGCAGCTTTGTGTTTCTCCATCCTGTCCCGCGGTACAGTGTGGTTTGGATCGAATGGACACACTTCCGTCTGGTAATTAAAAGACAATACACATATTTAAAAAAAAAAAAAAAGTATTTAAGCCCAAGAGAGATAAAGCAGGTGCCAAATAGTTTACAGATTTACCCGTACAAAATGTTACCATGCTCTCCATCCGTATCTATATTAAACTAACGTTATATGAAGTATTACATGGATAGATCACCCAAAAATGTAAATTCTGTCATTATTTACTCAACCTCAATTTGTTGAAAATCTCTATGAATTTCATTTTCCTGCTGAAAACAAAAGAAGACATTTTGAAGAATGTCGGTAACCAAACACTTGATGGGCCCCATGGATTTTTTGCTTGTTCCGTTTTATGAAAGCCAATGGGGCCCATCAACTAGCTATTTAGTATATTTAAATATTCTTCAAACTATCTTGTTTTGTGTTCAGCGGAAAAAAAGTAATTCATACATGTTTGGAACAATTTGAGGGAACAATTTACATTTTTGGGTGAACATTCTTCCATTCACAGAATCCTCTTTATAGTTTTGTGTTTGGCTGTTGACGTTAACGTTACCTGAACTGCATGTGCATCTAATTCCTGACTCCATTCGAGCGAGTCAAACAAATCCCTGAGTTCGGCTTGACAACTCTCTGTGAAGTCTGTGAGCTCCTGCAAACGCTGCATGCGCTCCTGGAGACCCAACGAAAAAGATGTTTCACCCATTTTACATCAGGAACGATCGAAAACAAGCCTCTAGCTTCACGATTGTTATGTTATCTACGCGAGTGTTCGTTGGCGCTTTAAAATGACGTATGCATGACGTGGACTCGAACTGTGGTTGCCACGGGTTGCCACAACCTTGAAAAAAAAACACTGCTGCAATGGTTTCCATATGAATGGTTTCTAGCAGAAAAAAAATAATAATAATAAAATAAAAAAAACAGGTATTTAGAAGACAATAATTAAACATGTTTAACTGTTGGGTGGGAAATGTCTTTTTCTAAACAAGTTACTTAAATAATTAAAATATGTTGTATTTAACACCGGTCGTACCAAAAAAAAAAAAAAAAAAAAAAATCTGAAATGTTTGAACAAAACTTTTGGGAGAAGTTTTGAAAACGCATCACTTGCTTTTGGAAATAGTACCGAGGTAGTACCGAGGTACATAAAATATGTTTGGTGTGTGTGTGAGAGTGTGTGGGTGTGGTCCTGGTTAACCCTATGTTATGGGGACAAAATGTCCCCACACGGATGAAAATATCCGAAATCATTGTTCCTTTGGGGACATGTTTTGGTACCCAATCCCCATGAGTAAAACTATAAATAATAGCAAGTGATGTTTTTTTTTTAAAACGTAAAAATGCAGAAAGTTGTATGTGATAGGTAGGTTTAGGGGTAGGGTTAGTGCAAGCTTCAGGTTGCAATACAATCATTGTATGAGGATTATTATATAAAA